GGAGCTGCCGGAAACATCGCGATGTAAGTTGCCGGCAACCTGCCGGCAGCTCGTCGAAATTCGCGATTCTACCATATACACTGTAACACCATAAAAACGCGCTACTTCACAAAGTAATACAGTTTTTGTGATAAGCATGTTAATTAACTCCTATAGAGAAAAAATTGCCAAATTGTGATTCTGACGTCGATGTAACACACCTTCGTACTATGACCGCACAAGGAGCGTTTACGTCTTTCAGAATAGGAAAAGTTCGTTTGCTTATCAGTTTTTGTATTCTTCTATGCCTTGTGACGAGAGGAATTCCCTTGAAAATGCGATTTATCTAACTTAAAAATGAATAGCGCGAAGGTGTCGCACGCGAGGTTCGCAACGCCGCGCCGATTTGCGGCTGTTTACTGTTTGTCGCTGCATTGCCCGAACGAGGTGAGTTGATACAAGACCAAGGTGATATATGGGACAGTAGGCTTGTACCAATAGGATGACATCATAAGCTATGAATGAAACATAGTATAGGAAGCAGTAGGCGGCTGCAAATTCGGTGATTCACCATGTGCAGCACCGGTCCGAAACGTGCTAATGGGGGTTATGCGGCTTTGCATTTTTTTGCAAAGAAATTTATCCGCTACATTTGCATAATGCGTTTTTGATGCAAAGTGCTGTGGTGCAAACATCAAAGGTATTCAACTAGTCATACAAAAGCGATTGTTGCATTGAACTTTGTGCGAACATATGCAAAAGCTTCGCTCTGAATAATCAACAATGGAAAAAAGAGGGTATATCGCATCACAATCAGGGCTTGGCACGAAGTGGCTTTCGGATAATGCAAAAAACGAAGTCACTCTTGACTTTCGCGAATTTTTACGAAGTCTCTTTTGACCCTAAACCCTAAACGTAAAAAAACCCTCAAAAAACGAAACGTCGACCAAAAAACTTCACAATTTCTGTGTCCTTTTGGCTTCAAAAACGATTTTTAATTTGCTTTTTGTCCCAAAAACGAAATCCAGCTTGCTTACAAGCCACCTGTGCCGAGCCCTGATCACAATAATGAGAGGAAATGAATTTTGGCCCTCAGTACAGTGGGCCTTCATTTCCTTACATTAATTGATCAACATTTTCCTCATCATTTGCAGATTCCTTTTATGTAGATTTTTATTGACGACTACTTTATGCAGTGTTTTATCTCACCCAATTTGTATAGCTAAAAATTTGTATAGCTAAAATTTGATTTCTGATTACTGCTCGAAATCCACACGAACCAAAAGTTGTGGGGAATATAGGAGTAGTATCAAAATTATTCCGTAATGGTTACATGAAGAGTAATAGTCACAAATTACCCCGTACCAAATTAAGCCCAAGGTGTCCTCCCCTCTCTCCCGCTACTCCAAGCACAACGCTCAGGTGAGACGGAGACGCCAGCTAGTAAGATTTAAAGATGTAGATATACATATGCCTGCGGCAATCAGTTGTTCATAAAATCAAAGTTTGATTCTATGGGACCGCACAACTAAGCAAAAACATCTCTTATGGCATGGCTTATTCACTTTTGTCCTTTCACTCGTGATTCTGAAAGCTCAGCGAAAATTCCAGTAATTCCAGTAAACAGTTTTTGTAGGGCTTAGTTTGATTTTTAATCCGATTGATTATGTTTATGAGCGATTTCGAAAGAGTGGCATCTCTCACAGCCGTTATCAGTCCACCGAGAATTTTTTAGTCTGAACAATGTCTTCGAGAAGCTAATTAAGCAGATTAAGCAGTGAGCGAAAAAGTTTGGATTAGAGCATATCATTTACCGCAATGCTGACGTATTCAGTACGAAAGTGACTCAGCAAAATTATAGAAAAGCAGAGATAAGAATGTGGACAGAGTGGTCAGAACGGAAGAACCAACATCGACGACAAAGGCGAACACCATACCTTCGATACATAGAGCCACGTACTCTGGTCACCTTCACTTTGAGTTCATGAGAGGACACGACCTTCACCTGGAGAGGAGTACAAGTCATCCGGGGCGAAGCCCCGGATAATATGACATAACTAATGACTAACTATGTAAGGATGAATGTGAATGAGGCAAATATAGTAGTGACATCCAAAGAAAAGCTCAAAAAACCGAAAGATTGCGTTGTCATGGCCTTCTTTGCTGAAAAGAGGGTTTTTCTTCAAAAAATCAGTTAGAAATTAGGATAAAACTTATCAGTTAACCTTTCTATAGACTGCGATTGAGCGTTGGAGGTTTATGAAAGCCGCTGGAGTTCAACAAAAACGAGAAACTGCGCTGAAATCTTGCGCAGAGGGTCGCCACATAAATGCTGGTCTATCTCGTTATGGAGTGAGATTCAAGACCCGCGGTCAGTGCTCCTGACCGTGTCATGAGGATCACAAAGATATATAATATTATAGGGTTTCGTTATGACCCCGCGGAGATCAATGACCAGAGCCAAATGCCCCGCCGGCTCTGGTCTTTCTCCGCTGCTCGTCTGCGTCTCCGCGCGCTGCGCGCTACCTCGCTACCCCAAGCGCGGGGCGCGGGGCATTTGGCTCTGTACCCTTTTCTTCACTGTTTCGAACCCAATTTTTGCAAGCTATATATCATTTTGAAGCTCTTGATCTCTATTTTCACGCTGACAACTTCGCAGGACTCCTTTTTATGATTTAAACAAGAAATCCGGCAAAAACCTTGTTTTTGAAAATCTCTCGTTTTTCTCCTAGTTTGACTCTTTTCACGCAGTTTTTTTGTGTAGTCGATAGGTCTTGTTTCTGTCTATAATGTAGACACCGTCGCCGAGCTTATTTCTTTGCTTATGCCGCTTTTTTGTGAAAATTACTAAAAAATGCGTTTTTCTTTACCTTATTCTTTTTCAGTAGTTTCGCAACGAATTTTCTCCAGCTTGGACGATACTTGCTCAGAATGATGAGCGGAAGAATCCAGACAACGTCGCAGGGTACAAGAGGGACGGCGCGGGGGTAAAATTTAAAGGACGCATCAAAAATCAAAGCCCCGTGTTGCGAATTGCTGGTCCTGGAGCGAAAATTTGCACTCTGTAAAGCCGCCAAATGAAAGATTTCAAATCTTATTGCAGCGTTTTTATCCGGTTTACAGCCGTTTCTTTTGCTTTTTATGTCTGTTTTACGTTATATTCTCTTCTCTGATCTTCTTTGAACAACCTTCACCATTTGTGACGTCAGATGTTCAAACAACCTTCACTTTTGGCGCCCTGTCTCTAGACTATCGAAGGTATGGCGAACACCTTTCGAAAGATTGAAATGGGTCACAAATGTGGAACAAAAGTAGCATTTTTGGTTGTCGTTTTAGGTGACAAGATGACATGTTTAAGTCGATGCGATTTACTTCTTCACGAAATCGATTCAAACTCTTTGAATTTTCACCTTCAACTAAATCTACTACACAGCATGCCGACCTCGACCAGGAATGATGATCAGCTTGTACAGAAAAGCAAAGCCTTGTTGATGAATAGAACAAATTCAGCATTGTCCCAGTGAATTTTCGATTTCCATGGGTCATTGCCAAACCCAATTCAGTTGAAAATGTAACTGAAGAGACTTGAAAACGCAATAAGATAAAAGTAGACGAGCGTTCGGCCCTGAATTTGTTAAAGGCAGCGTCCACCCAAAATTTCGCCTCCCATTTTTTGCCGTTCTGGGCTTTGCCTGGCCCTGATTACAGTTATGTTCAAATTGTCCCCGCATGGAGACCCTGTATCAAGGTTGCGGAAGGCTTTCAGTACATGGGTGGGCGGGGTTTGATAGGATCAGGGCGGGGATAGCAGTTTGGCTGCTCAGACAATCGACGGGACCCCTCCGCCGGACCCTCCGAAACTGCCAGAGTCGCGCCGGACCCAGTTGACCAATGAGAGAAGGGCAAATGGGCGGTCCATCGCGGTGACATCACTGGCAGGCAAGTGGGAGGCTTCTCCGGCCCTGCTGCAAAGGTCCGCCATTTCTCCGGCGCGACTCTGCCAGATTTGGCGGACTCCGCGCCGGAGAAAATTGCGCGGCGCGTGTCCGCCAAATTTGGAAGAGCCGCGCCGGAGAAAATGGGAGGGGTCCGGAGCAGAAATGGGAGGCCTCCGGAGCAGAAAATGGGAGGTCTCCGGAGCAGAAAATGGGAGGTATCCGGAGCAGAAATGGGAGGTCTCCGCCGGAGAAATGGGAGGGCTCCGCCGGACAAATGGGAGACCCACCGCTGGGGAAACGCCGCGACCCTGCCATTTCTCCGGCGGAGGGGTCCTATCCGCTGTCTGAGTGTTCCAGGCCCATTATCTTCATTCAGAGGCAACATAAGAGGATCGGACCGACACAGATGTCCCTTTTCAGGCCCTTCATTCAATATCAGCTCAAATCGGAGGGGATTAGATTCAGCCTGTCACTGCCGTTGAAAGGAAGGCAGGAATAGTGATATCTTCTACCATATTAGATTTTGGACGATATTTTGCCTCAACTTATTTCATTTACCCTACTTCCGAGGTCCGACCACAAGCTGGAAGTGCTTACTTCAATCAGACTGGATAGTGTCGGACAAAACTGGACCTTCTTCTGAGTAAGAAAATGTTCGGAGAGATAGCTGGAAGAAAAGAATGAAAAAAACTTCAGTTGTGGCATTGTGCGCTCACCCCTATCATCACATCATATTTGCTACTATTTCTTTAACATTAATAATGATTTCCAGGGACGATGAAGTGCTCTTCCTTCAAAAGTGCCAAAAATCAATGAAAGAAAACATTTTGGCAAACCTACGAGTAGATTAATGGCATTTCTATGTCTGAACAATGTCTACTTGAATTAAGTTCTGAAGGCGAGAGGCCTCGTCTTGATAGCAAAACTTGGTTCCCTGACAAATGACTGATACTTTAAAGCTTTTTCCTAGTGGTGATATATCGTCAATCTTGATGTGAATCGTCCATTACATTACGTGCATACAGCCATCACCAAAATGGATAATTTGCAACCGCTTCATATCATGAAATAAGGGAGTAGATATGACATTGAAGAGTGACAGAAACAACTGGGTAGAGGGGATCTGCAGTCTTAAAGCGTTTCATCTGCAGAAACATCTCTGATTTTCGATACGTCAATCTGCAGGTAATTTTGCCATGGCCTTTCGGCGTAGTTAACCTTATAGATCTGAAAGAAGGATGTTAATTTGAAGAGGTAACATGAGGTACAGTTATAACTAACGGCTCTATTTCCACCACTTCTCAGTTGGCAATTGGCTGCTTGTAGCGTGGCTAGGTCAACTTCCTGGAATAATTTGTTACTTCTGCCATCCTCTCAACTTCGGAAAAAGCAAGGCTCAGATTATGGGTCACATATCAATTCTGGGTCAATGATGCACAGTAGTGAAGCTGCAATCTGCAACTCTAAAAAACCCATTCGCTCTATTTCTCAAGGAAACGGTGTTAAAAAATGAATATGCTTTTTGGAGTTTCCTCTAACTGCCATTTCGGCATAAGTACCAGTTTGCACCCAGTTTGTCTTCAAACAATTGACTTGCAATATTGATTGCAATACTGACAGCTTAGGTGAACTGAAAGGAGGCCCTCAGCTGAACTTCTTGAGGTGAAATGACGATCGCCCCTTCCTACGTGTAAGGCCTAAGGCATACCTCGCACGATTCGGCGAAATCGCCACTTTCACGCGACTTGGCGATTTGTCAGATTTCTATAATTTTATCATGCGCACTTCTGGATTGTTTTCGTATAATCTCCATTTGTGAGAACATGCAATGCAGATTTGCTTCCACTTAGTAAGCTGATTACTAGCCTTAACATTGACATTAATCTTAGCTGTCAGGAATGCTGTTTCACAAAAAATTGTTTTTGTTCCAATTCTGTTTGTTCTCCATATCACTGCGGTCGATTGTGCTTTCAGTTACAAAAAATTCAATGCTTCCGATAGCTTCTCCTGCACTCAAGAGTACAACGTCAGAGCTATTGATAAAACGGAGCTTTGCAAGCATTCAGTAATTCTGCACGACTTGATACATTACAAAAAAAACTTACATCTTTCTTGCACTCCGCTTCACCGTAAAGTATCTCAAACTCATAGATGACCCCGGAAACTACCTGACTTGAAGCTTTGAGAACCTGAAAATCCAATAATAAGCAAAGATGAGGCAAAAAGTGCTTGTGGTTTTCTGAAAGTAAAATTCTTCCAAGTTGCTTAAGCGTGGGAAAGCTCGCTCTTGTGCGTTTACTATGTTGTATGTTGAGTTAAGTGACTCGCTCTATCTGCAGTCTTGAACGTATCTTATATATAAAGCTGAATGTCTGTTTGTATGTCTGTCTGTATGTCTGTCTGTATGTCTGTCTGTATGTATGTATGTATGTATGTACGTATGTTCCGAATAGAAAATTCCATTTCTGAACCGATCCGGACCAAACTTGGCACACATACACTACGGGCCCCGGCGGGTGTCATAGGCTACTTTTCGTCATCGATCGATATCGATTTTATCGATTTTTATCGATTTTTTTGCTGAGTTCACCTACGGGGCTGGGAGTTGGCACAGGGGGGTAATCGAGCATGGGGATTCCGAATACAATATTGGTTTTCAGGATTATCGATTACTTTTATCGATTTTATCGATTTTTTTGCAAAGTTTGAGCTACGGGGCTGGGAGTTGGCACAGGGGGGTAATCGAGCATGGGGATTCCGAATACAATATTGGTTTTCAGGATTATCGATTACATTTATCGATTTTATCGATTTTTTTGCAAAGTTTGAGCTACGGGGCTGGGAGTTGGCACAGTGGGGTAATCGAGCATGGGGATTCCGAATACAATATTGGTTTTCGGGATTATCGATTACTTTTATCGATTTTATCGATTTTTTGCAAAGTTTGAGCTAGGGGGCTGGGAGTTGGCACAGGGGGGTAATCGAGCATGCTGATCATCCCCAAGGGGGTGATCAGCATGCTCGATTACCCCCTGTGTCAAATTCCAGCCCCCTAGCTCAAATTTTGCAAAATCGATAAAATCGATAGAAGTAATGGATAATTCCAAAAACTAATATTGTATTCGTAATCTGCATGCTCGATTACCCCCCTGTGCAAACTCCCAGCCCCGCAGGTCAAACTTTACAAAAAAATCGGTAAAATCGATTAAAGTAATGGACGATCCTGAAAACTAATATTGTGTTCGTAATCAGCATGCTCGATTACCCCCTGTGCAAAATCCCAGCCTCGCATGTCAAAATTTACAAAAAATCGATAAAATCAATAAAAGTAATCGATAATTCTGAAAACTAATATTGTATTCGGAATCCCCATGCTCACTTCCCCCCCTGTGCCAACTCCTAGCCCTGTAGGTGAACTCTGCAAAAAAATCGATAAAAATCGGTAAAATCGACATCGATCGATAACGAAAAGTGGACTGTGACACCCGCCGAGGCCCGAAGTGTATGTGTGCCAAGTTTGGTCCGGATACGGCGGAGCCGGGTAAGCCAGCTAGTTGCCTTATAAAGAGATTAACATGAAATAGGTCTGCATATTGAATTTAAATATTATCCCATTGTTTTTAACAAAGCAAGGAATTTTCTGATTGAAATCAAAGTAGCACTTCGCATCTCTCATCTTTCTTACATTTTAGTAACCATTTTCAATCTAATTTCTCGGAGTAGTCATAAGAAAGTCAGTTTCATCTCAAGTCGTGAAGTTTTTAAAAAGGTTGAGTTGGGATAGATAGAAAAACTTTACAAACCAAGAATCATTTCGAGAAATTTCTCAGCTTTATGAAACTATTGCAAATTTTGAGTTTTTGAAACCGTATCTTTGATAGTAATTCAAAAAGAAAAACCTTGCGATCACGAATTTCAAAGAACAAAGTGATCTAGATTGGAACTGGAAAATGGTTTGTTATAATTGCACTGAAGCTAAAATTATTAAAGTTACTAGCGGTGAGCGAGATAACAAAACGAGTTGAACGCTCTGAATTTTTGAAGTATTTTAAAAAATCAGATTTGGATTGCAGTCTTAAGGAAGAACACGAGAGCCGCGTCGAACGCGAATTAATCTGTGCTTACTTCTCTGCAGAATGCAGTAAAAAAATGAACAAGTTCCGCGGCAATACTGAAAAAAACACCCATTGGTCATCAAATTGATTAAGTTTCGATACAAAACGCAATGCTCACTTTGATAGGCATCATAGCATAAGGACTATCGTTTGCTGCAGAATTTTCATTGAGTGGTTTTGAAGCTTTCCATGCCATTTCCTGAATGTCCATCATAAGGTATCGAAGGCATAACTAAGCCAAGGTCACTGGATCAAAAGCTGGACATCAACCTACCATATATTCGGGGCTGTTCGGGTCCTGCTCATTTTTCCCACCGGCCAGCATTTGCGTGGATACGACAGTGCACAGGAATGTGAGGACAAAGATAAGACTTGACATGGTGTCTGCAGAAATTGCTTTTTGCATTCACATAAACTCTTAAGGTCAACAATGCATGAGAATCACCAAACATTGAGGAAAGTGCACAATTAAGAACATGAGCAAACCATAAGTTCTGAAACGTGTCTTTCACAGCATCAAATCTGCTTCGGGGTCCACGAAATTAACAAAAAATTAGCACGTCTATCATTCCAAATCACATGCTGCTACAGTCGGTAGGATGCGGGCATTTTTGGGCAAGTTTTGCAACTTCTCTCCATAGGTTTTTTCTTATTCAAAGAGGGGCACTCTCAATCTCTGGCATCATGTAGAGTGTGACGTAAGCCGCAAGCCTGCGCAAACCGTTGGATTTTTGATATTGTAGCAAAAAATCAAACGTTTTTCGAAAACCCTTGAAAATCAAGGTTTCACGGGTTTTTTTTGGCAAACGTGAAGCTACGAAACCTGAATCAAACATATCGAAAAGAATTATAGGCATAATCTGACCTCTAAAAAATGACACATTAGAATCAGTAAAAAAGAATTGTGATTTGAAGATATATTAGGATAAGACGATTTTAAAAGTAGAACAAAAATGCGTCAGGTTTGGAGGGCAATCTGTCAGTAACTAAGTTGCAAAACCTCAGAATTTGCTAAATCTTGCACAATAGAGTAATCCATTACGTTGAACACGATTATTCATTTGTCGCTAAGATAACATTCATTGTTGATCTTACGAAAGTAGGCCTTTCATGCGAAGCGGATCTCATTTTTGTGATCAGCATGTCCAATAACCCATAGGCCAAGTCAGCAAAATCTGACGCAATCTAAATAACTCTATATTGTACCGTAAACCTACCTAATCCATACATAAGATGGCGAAATTCGGCAAAAATGTATGCATTCGCAGTTTACATCATAATCCTTATATTGCCAGAAAATGAATGTGCTACGTATAAAAAGACAAAAGTTGCATAAAAAGTTGCATTACTTATGTGCCAACCTGATAGATTCAATCAAAGTGCACACAGTTTTGCTCAAAGCGCATATTTTCGCTCACTTATTTGTGTACAGTATGATTTTACGTGCATTGGAGGAGTCCATTCGTTTCTTAAAAGATTGTGAGTCATCGCAAAGGGGTTTATTTTCTGGTACACTGATGCAGCCAGTCATTGTCATTCCGACATCGCTGTGGCTAATGGCCGCTCCTACCGATTGTAGCAGCATGTAATTTTGAATGATAGACGTGCTAATTTTTTGTTAATTTCGTGGACCCCGAAGCAGATTTGATGCTGTGAAAGACACGTTTCAGAACTTATGGTTTGCTCATGTTCTTAATTGTGCACTTTCCTCAATGTTTGGTGATTCTCATGCATTGTTGACCTTAAGAGTTTATGTGAATGCAAAAAGCAATTTCTGCAGACACCATGTCAAGTCTTATCTTTGTCCTCACATTGCTGTGCACTGTCGTATCCACGCAAATGCTGGCCGGTGGGAAAAAAGAGCAAGACCCGAGCAGACCCGAATATATGGTAGTTTGATGTCCAGCTTTTGATCCAGTGACCTTGGCTTAGTTATGTCTTCGATACCTTCTGATGGACATTCAGGCAATGGCATGGAAAGCTTCAACAACACTCAATGAAAATTCTGCAGCAAACGATAGTCCTTATGCTATGATGCCTATCAAGGTGAACATTGCGTTTTACATCGAAACTTGATCAATTTGAGACCAAAAGGTGTTTTTCAGTATTACCGCGGAACTTGTTCATTTTTTACTGCATTCTGCAGATTAAGCAGGAGATTAATTCGCGTTCGACGCGGCTCTCCTCTTCCTCCTTAGGACTGCAATTCAAATCTGATTTTTTAAAATACTTCAAAAATCCAGAACATTCAACTCGTTTTGCTATCTCGATAGCTAGTAACTTTAGTAATTTTAGCTTCAGTGCAATTATAACAAACCATTTTCCAGTTCCACTCTAGATCACTTTGTTCTTTGAAATCCGTGATCGCAAGGTTCTTCTTTTCAACTACTATCAAAGATACAGTTCAAAAAATCAAAATTTGCAATAGCTTCATAAAGCTGAGAAATTTCTGAAATGATTCTTGGTTTGTAAAGTTTTTCTATCTATCCCAACTCAACCTTTTTAAAAACTTCACGACTTGAGATGAAACTGACTTTCTTATGACTACTCCGAGAAATTAGATTGAAAATGGTTACTAAAATGTAAAAAAGATGAGAGATGCAAAGTGTTATTTTGATTTCAATCTGAAAATTCCTTGCTTTGTTAAAAACAATTGGATAATATTTAATTCAATCTGCAGACCCATCATGTTCATCTCTTTGTAGGACAATACGTTCAAGGTTGCAGATAGAGGGTATACTCAACATACAACATAGTAAACGCACAAGAGCGAGCTTTCCCATGCTTAAGCAACTCAGAAGAATTTTACTTTCAAGGAAACAAGCAGTTTTTTTGCCTCATCTCTGCTTACTATTGAATTTTCAGGTTCTCAAAGCTTCAACTCAGGTAGTTTCCGGGATCATCTATGAGTTTGAGATACTTTTCGGTGAAGCGGGGTGCAAAAAAGGTGTAAGTTTTTTGCAATGTATCAAGTCGTGCAGAATTACTGAATGCTTGCAAAGCTCCGTTTTATCAATAGCTCTGACTTTGTACCCTTGAGTGCAGGAGAAGCTATTGGAAGCATTGAACTTTCTGTAACTGAAAGCACAATCGACCACAATGATATGGAAAACATACAGAATTGGAACAAAAATAATTTTTTGTGAAACAGCATTCCTGACAGCTAAGATTAATGTCAATGTTAAGGCTAATAATCAGCTTACTATAGAAGCAAATCTGCATCGCATGTTCTCACAAATGGAGATTATACGAAAACAATCCAGAAGTGCGCATGATAAAATTATAGAAATCTGGCAAATCGCCAAGTCGCGTGAAAGTGGCGATTTCGCCGAATCGTGCGAGGTATGCCTTAGGCCTTACACGTAGGAAGGGGCGATCGTCATTTCACCTCAAGAAGTTCAGCTGAGGGCCTCCTTTCAGTTCACCTAAGCTGTCAGTATTGCAATCAATATTGCAAGTCAATTGTTTGAAGACAAACTGGGTGCAAACTGGTACTTATGCTGAAATGGCAGTTAGAGGAAACTCCAAAAAGCATATTCATTTTTTAACACCTTTTCCTTGGGAAATAGAGCGAATGGGTTTTTTAGAGTTGCAGATTGCAGCTTCACTACTGTGCATCATTGACCCAGAATTGATATGTGACCCATAATCTGAGCCTTGCTTTTTCCGAAGTTGAGAGGATGGCAGAAGTAACAAATTATTCCAGGAAGTTGACCTAGCCACGCTACAAGCAGCCAATTGCCAACTGAGAAATGGTGGAAATAGAGCCGTTAGTCATAACTCTACCTCATCTTACCTCTTTTTAACATCCTTCTTTCAGATCTATAAGGTCAACTGCATCGAAAGACCATGGCAAAATTACCTGAAGATTAACGTATCGAAAATCAGAGATGTTTCTGCAGATGAGGCGCTTTAAGACCTGTTGTTTCTGTCACTCTTCAATATCATATCTATCTCTTATTTCATGATATGAAGCGGTTGCAAGTTATCCATTTTGGTTATGACTGTATGCTTACAATGTAATGGACGAGATTCATAGCAAGACGAAGTAGATATCACCACTAGGAAAAAGCTAACAAAAATCAATTATTTGTCAGGGAACAAATTTTGCTATCAAGACGCCTCGCCTTCAAAACTCAAGCTAAGTAACCAGTATTCACACATATATTGCCATTAATCTACTCGAAGGTTTGCCAAGATGTTTTGTTTCATTGAATTTTGGCACTTTCAAAGGAAGAGCACTTCATCGTCACTTGAGCTCATTATGTAAATTATGTATGTGAAATTATTACGTAAAAGAAATAGTGGCAAAAAAATTAAAGCGCAAAATTTTTTACCCTGTTCTGCACTCGTTTTGCGGCGATATGAATAATAGGTGTAGTGATGAACGCCACAGTTAAAATTTGTTTCATTCTTTTCTCTCAGCTTCTATCTCTCCGTACATTTTTTCACTCAGAAGAAGGTCTAATTTTGACCGATATTCCAGTCTGATTGAAACAAGCACTTCTAGCTTGTGGTCAGATCCCATCAGAAGTAGGGTAAATGAAATAAGTTGAGGCAAAGTATCGTCCAAAATCTAATATGGTAGAAGATATCACTATATGGTAGAAGATATCACTATTCCTGCCTTGCTTTCAGCGGCAGTGACAGGCTGAATCTAATCCCTTCCAATTTGAGCTGATATTGAATGAAGGGCCTGAGAAGGGACATCTGTGTCGGTCCGATCCTCTAATGTTGTCTCTGAGTGGAGATAATGGGCCTGGAACAGCCAAACTGCTATCAAGCCCCGCCCAGATCCTATCAAACCCCTCCCACCCATGTACTGAAAGCCGTCCGCAACCTTGATACAGGGTCTCCACGAATTGCGTTTTTGGGAGTTTTGGGGACAATTTGAAATTTATAACTGTAATCAGGGCCAGGCAAAGCCCAGAACGGCAGAAAATGGGAGGCGAAATTTTGGGTGGACGCTGCCATTAATAAAATAAGGCTGAACGCTAGCGTTGACAAGCATGCCTAGTTTTGCGGCGTTTTCAAAATGAATAAGGTCATGATGTTTGGCAATGACCCATGGAAGTCGAAAATTTACTGGGACAATGCTGAAATTGTTCTATTCATCAACAAGGCTTTGCTTTTCTGTACAAGCTGATCATCATTCCTGGTCGAGGGTCGGCATGCTGTGTAGTAGATTTAGTTGAAGGTGAAAATCAAAGAGTTTGAATCGATTTCTTGAAGAAGTAAATGCATCGACTTAAACATGTCATCTTATCACCTAAGACGACAACCAAAAATGCTACTTTTGTTCCACATTTGTGACCCATTTCAATCTTTCGAGAGGTGTTCGCCTTTGTCGTCGATATTGGTTCTTCCGTTCTGACCACTCCATGTCCACATCCTTATTTCTCTGCTTTTCTATAATTTTGCTGAGTCACTTTCGTACTGAATACGTCAGCATTGCGGTAAATGATACGCTCTAATCCAAACTTTTTCGCTCACTGCTTAATCTGCTTAATTAGCTTCTGGAAGACATTGTTCAGATTAAAAAATTCTCGGTGGACTGATAACGGCTGTGAGTGTTGCCACTCTTTCGAAATCGCTCATAAACGTAATCAATCGGATTAAAAATCAAACTAAGCCCCTACAAAAACTGTTTACTGGAATTACTGGAATTTTCGCTGAGCTTTTAGAATCACGAGTGAAAGGACAAAAGTGAATAAGCCATGCCATAAGAGATGTTTTTGCTTAGTTGTGCGGTCCCATAGAATCAAACTTTGATTTTATGAACAACTGATTGCCGCAGGCATATGTATATCTATAAGCTCCTGCAAGACGAAGGCGGTCGGTTCGATGTGCAACGCGGCTGCGACATGGCTGCGTCACAGCAGCGTCACAGCCGCGTCACAGCCACGTCGCATCTCTACCAACCGCCTTCGTCTTGCAGGAACTTATACATCTTTAAATCTTACTAGCTGGCGTCTCCGTCTCACCTGAGCGTTGTGCTTGGAGTAGCGGGAGAGAGGGGAGGACACCTTGGGCTTGATTTGGTACGGGGTAATTTGTGACTATTACTCTTCATGTAACCATTACGGAATAATTTTGATACTACTCCTATATTCCCCACAACTTTTGGTTCTGTGGATTTCGAGCAGTAATCAGAAATCAAATTTTAGCTATACAAATTTTTAGCTATACAAATTGGGTGAGATAAAACACTGCATAAAGCAGTCGCCATTAAAAATCTACATAAAAGGAATCTGCAAATGATGAGGAAAATGTTGATCAATTAATGTAAGGAAATGAAGGCCCACTGTACTGAGGGCCAAAATTCATTTCCTCTCATAATTGTGATCAGGGCTCGGCACAGGTGGCTTGTAAGCAAGCTGGATTTCGTTTTTGGGACAAAAAGCAAATTAAAAATCGTTTTTGAAGCCAAAAGGACACAGAAATTGTGAAGTTTTTTGGTCGATTCGTTTTTTGAGGGTTTTTTTACGTTTAGGGTTTAGGGTCAAAAGAGACTTCGTAAAAATTCGCGAAAGTCAAGGGTGACTTCGTTTTTTGCGTTATCCGAAAGCCACTTCGTGCCAAGCCCTGATTGTGATGCGATATACCCTCTTTTTTTCCATTGTTGATTATTCAGAGCGAAGCTTTTGCATATGTTTGCACAAAGTTCAACGCAACAATCGCTTTTGTATGACTAGTTGAAGACCTTTGATGTTTGCACCACAGCACTTTGCATCAAAAACGCATTATGCAAATGTAGCGGATAAATTTCTTTGCAAAAAAATGCAAAGCCGCATAACCCCCATTAGAAATGGCTTTTGGACTAAACCCGCATAAACTGGGATTGTGCGAAGTAGAAATCAGCGCGAACTTTGATTTTCGAGTGCTGTGTAAATAGTATTTGGTTCTTTGTTTTCAGATTGGGCCATTTGAAAAAAAAGGCTGAAGCTCTGGTAAAGCAAGCACCAACGGAAGATTTCTATCTAAGCTATTTGCATTTGCACCAGCTTTTTGATTGAGTATTGTCATTGCTTATAAGAGAGTGTCCTTCTTTTGCATGTAAAGATGTGCTGCATTGCCAATAAAACTAGTATGCTCGTCTTTATTATAGAATATGCTTCGAGCAAGCCTATTGATTTCGACATGTGAAGCGTTGTGGATAGTATGGATTGATTTTGCAAAAAAGCTAGCTATTGTATGCTGAACAGTCTTTCCGATCTTTCTGCTACGTTCACAGCTTTATCATACGGTTTGATATCCTCTTCGTTTGATTTATGCATCACTCTCAGAGAGCTTATGAAAGGAATCAGTGTCTTGGTTATTGTTAGTCATGCTCGCCTGCGTAGTGTCACCACATGTGCCGAGCAATGTTGACGGAAGTACGAAGTAAATTTTTGAGATGGGAGAAAATTTATAGACACGGGGAGGGAATGTAATGGTAAAGATTCTCCTCCCCTCCCCTTCCAGAGTGACTACGACATAGGAGAGGAAATCCTCAGATTGATCTGAAAGCAAGAAAACAAGGTGGATCCGAGCAATGCACAGCTGAGAGAAAAAATTTTTGCCTTCCAAACACGTCAGCTGAATATTCGACTAAACCACCTATCTTTTGAGAATGCTTAGGCACAAGGAAATGTACAACTGAATGAAGACGATCTGAAGAAATCAGGGCTTGTCAAAAAAGGCTTTGTCGATGGTGATTCTAAGATTGTTGGTGTATTGTAGCTTGAACTGTCAACCAAACGTTGGCTCATTTTATGCTAGGTGTACCTAATCTGTAGTTCTCAGTTTAGTTCCACAAGACGCACAAGAATTTGGAAAATTTTATTCCTTTTACCTTCTTACATTTGGTCTTACAGAACTTTATGTGCCAAAAAGGATGTCACTAGCAAACGGAATGGCGCGAGTGTATCTTTTATAAGTTTTCTCGTGAATCGAGGCGTTGCTAATAGTGGAGGACAAAATGTTGGTACACGAATTTCGGTTTCTAAATTTTGCATTGAATGGGTGGTAAGTAGTCAACACTATAACTGACAAGAGCATGATAGTTATAATGTCAAGGCAAAAAGATATCCTAAGATGTAATTCAATTTCAAATCATATGATATCATCTCCTTTGCGACTAAGAGAATCGAGAACGCTTTACTGCATTGTCTGAATAAGCCTGTTGTTTCTCTCCTGGTTATGTACAAGTGATAAAATCCAGAGACACTTCACAAGTATAAACTCGGTTGACCACACGATCATGCTTGTGTAGACAATTTGTGCAAAGCGCACAGTCTCCTAGTTCCAGACAGTTGGCCTAAAAGTGCCCTCCACTTATTCAACTTGAAAGCCATTTCTGTCATCAATCAAATCAAACCGATTACATCGCAATTTCGATTCTGGATCAGTTTCAGCGTTCAACACAGAACAGTTTTGTACAGCATAAAAGTACGATTTCACAGTTTTGTTACTTGAAATTATCAATAAAATTATGTACAGTGCCTGCAAGCTATAATGGGAGATTTTTTATAAACTCAAAAATGTTCTTCGCTCTTGCAATTCTTCCAAGGTTTTGAGGCATCCGAACATCAGCTGTCTGTTCAACAAATGTGTAACAAAGTATGACTTTCACTCTTTCGCAATCACTCTGAAAGCATTTTCATTTTTTTTTCTGCAGTGGTAGTGCCGACTTTAACAGGTTTTACGCAGTTTTTGTTTCTCGTTTATGTTTCATTTTCCGCAAACAATCATGGGATGACACACAGGTCGTTTGCCATCAAAGTACGGCACAAAAGCGTGATGCCCAAACTGCTCTGCGTAGTCCAGAATAGGGGTCTGTAGATAAGGGATGAGTTCAAATCTGACATTTTTTTGGTTGCACTAGCAGCAGAACTTGAGCGCGCAATCATTCACAGTCGCCCCATTTCAACAGTCACTTTGTGGGATTGCACTCTTTTGCATTCTGCAGAAGAGCAGGCTGCATGGATCACTACCATCAAGGAAACGGTGTTAAATCGAGTAAGAAAAGAGAGTCTCCTACTTGTGGATCTGCAATGCTCAGTGCAAATTGAAAAGTAGTGCATTTGCACAGTGCGAATGTTGAGAGGGAGACTCTGTGTAGTATGTTGAATTATTGAATTCTTCCAAAAACATCCCGTTCCCAATCGACGTTACTCATCTTATTAACCGCTTCGAATTATCACAAGACGAATTACGGTGAAAAGATAAGTCGTGCTCTGGTCGCTGATGCTTTGCTAAAGTGTGTTGTCCCCGTCAGCTGACAAAAACAATCCATATCCTGTTCTCCGCAGCAAGTCCACACAGAGACCAAATTTTACGTTATCCGCTAATTGATTCACTGAAATAGACTCCGCATTTCTACTGTCATTCATTAGGAGACTAGCGAACTCGATTACGCATTGCACACATTGTCTGAACAAGTTTGATCGTGCAGTCAACAAGTCTATACTTGTAATTTACCTCCTCTAAGATTATTTACTACTCGGAGCCAGAAAGAACAAGTTTGGATTTGTTCAGACTATGCGTGCAAAGCGTTCAAGTTTGGCCTCGAGCATAGTTCACGCGAGTACAGTCGTCACGCGATCTGGCAATTTACCAGATTTCTTCAAATATCACACTGGCAGATTATGAATGCATAGCCAGTATAACTCTCGTAAACTGATATAACTACATTTAGAATGCTTCCACAATGAGTTATAAACACTTCGAATATTGCCAAATCGCGTCGCGACTCAAATCGCGTGAAGTATGCCCGAGGCCTTTCTTGGTCTCAAAATAATAAGTGTTATATACATTGGTTTTTCCCTTTCTTTCCTGAAAAAAAAGCAGTTAAGAGCAAGTGGTTTTGCTCACAGTTCCCTTTAGCGAATAATGCCTTTAATCATTTTAAAACAGAATAATTGTGTTTTTGATAGCTAGAGGAAAGAGTGATTTTGGTTCACATACTGCAAATGCACAACTTCTTGATCCAAGGTTTTACCACTGGAGCTTGAAACATTTTGATCTCCTGCTAATTTGCAAGTCCACTAAGTCCTAGTTCCGACCATTTCCGCTAAAAAAAAATACAATACAACTCTATATTTTAGTCCGGAGGGAGGCGGGGGGGGGGGGGGGGGGAGGGGTACATTTTTAGCTTCATTTTCAATTATGGCAAAGAGTATGAGTCAGTTCACAATGCACTTCTCTCGTCGAGTCATTTGCAACTTTTTATGCGTTCTGCACAACAGCTGCGTTACTTGACGACTTGTGAGATTAGAACTTGTTCATTGTTAATGATTTTTTCTAGTTTCCTTGTCTCTTTCAATTTCTTGTCTCTTTCCAGTTGGGTATGTATTAGTTAATGGTGCACATTTGTACTATTTGTTATCAAAATAGGTTCTGAGGGGTTATTAGTAAGGGTGTCGTCGGTTGCCGCGCATATTGTGCAGACTCACATGTTAAGTTAGAAATGACTCGAGCATAAACCCTTGAATGAGTATCATTCATTCAGAGACTAAAGAAACTCGTCTACCCATTGAATGTTGTCTATAAAAATAAAGCGAGTTTCTCTCCAGCAAGTTGGTACTTGGATCTACCTCTCCACGAGTTATTTACTGTGGGATAAAAAAGAACAAATCCGATTTTGTTTAGTCAATTTATGCAAGGCGTACGCAATTCCCAAAATAAACGATATCCAAATTCTCCAGATTCTTGGAAAGGTCGCGCACACTTGTAATGCGTCCATGACTCACTGCTCGACATTGTTTACGTCCTCGCATAACGTTGCCGATCAATACGTATGGGCGTGCTTTCAGTCCACATGCTGCGCATTCTCGTTGTTCTCGCACTACTATCCTGTACAATTATGGCCGACAAGGAGCACAAAGGTGGAATGGTCGGTGGAATGACAAAGCAGGATCCCAATGACAAGGAGTTTCTGGTACGCTTTGAACTGCAGATCTTTCACATTTTTTCAGTTCTCACTGATTTTTTACTTTGCTTTGTCTCTTTCGCAATATTCTACTTTGAATGATTGCGCCTTGATCCATTGTGGAATATTCTGTAGATGTATTCGCTGCAGATCTTTTTTGAAATCATAGTTCAAGAATAACCGTCTATGAGCCGGTTCCTATCTCATCAATAGGCTACAACTTTTAAGTCTGATTGAGATGTTTTTTTTTCTATCGCATCTACAAAATCTGCTCGAGAACTCATTAGATTGATCAGTTTCTCTCCCAGCATAACATAACCTATAGCGAAATAGAGATTTAAACTGTGCTGGAGTGGTAACTATACTGTGATGTGCATCATGTACTTTGTATACTACGGTAGAGGTCAACTTTCATTCAGCACCGTGAATGCTGAATATTCATAAAAGGTGTTGCACTTTGACCAGTTCATCTGCTTCGGTTTTTGCTCTTTGTACCTTCACCACGAGGATGCGTTCAATCTTACTTCTTCTGTTTTCTCTTTATTGAGCCACTGTCCAAGTAGAGCTGCTAATCAAGTCTCATACATCAGCCATATCCTTTCCATCTATCTGTGAGACGAAACATATGTTGTAATGCAAACCGGGATTTATTTATTCAGGAAAAAGCATGGAAGGCTACGAAAGGCATCAACGATGACGCATCTAACGCTGGCCCATACCATCTGATGCCCATCAAGGTCTGCTAACTTTTTGTATTTGAGCAATTTGTTTCGTAAATGGCTCTTGGGGGTTTATTGGTGATTTGGAAGGGCAATAGTTCTCATTCGGGGACCTGATTTGTCTTTCTCAAGTCGCTGTTTTTTTACGCGTGTGAGCACCAGAAGTATGTGATGAGCTGCTGAGGAACGTGTTTCCCTCATGAATATAAATACTACTATGAACAGCTTAGGATTGCTTGTATAAACGACGATCTGCAGAGCAGAGGGTACTACATTTAGTATGTTTCCCCGTCATCTTGCTAGATTAAGCTCAAAGGACAGTTTCCGTTTGCTGATTTGTCGAAAAACTGTACAGTGCACACGCTATTCTCTTCATAAACACATGATGTGTAATCTGAGCGTACGCTATCGCAAATATTTATTGATGGGCTGTTGTTCTTGGAGCGGTAGTGGTTGTGGTCTTCGGCAGGTCACCGTTGTTCAAAACAATGATCAATATCGCACCGGTTACCATACCAGTCCAGATCACCCAGAAAACGACAATGATTGTGACTCTGAAATCAGATGAACTGGTTTTAATATCGTTTTCACGATTTAATCTACCTCCAAAACTTCCAAAATGCGCTTTGTTGTGCTATTTTTAGCTGCTCAGCGGTGAGTCCAATAAGCGGCTTTAGGTAGAGTTCGGCATCGCTCTGTAATCGTAACTTACTGTTTATTAGCGCTTGGGGACGGTGATGATGCAGGCTTACCGAATGAGCGACTTTCAGGGGAACTTTGACTAAATGTGGTAAAAAGTATAAGAACTCACTCTTGATGTTGAAGATTCGGTGTTCGATGTGCTTTCGGTGCCAGAAGTGGTTTCGCTTGTTGAGGACATCCTTCTACTGTCGTTTAGGTTATTTTTAGGAGGAAGTGAATTGGGTGGTAGATAATGGCGGTTACAGATTACATAGAGTGATCTTTGGTGTAGATTAAAAATAGCTATACGTATGTCTAATTTTTAAGATTTTTTTTACTATTGAACATTTCCTTTGTAACCAAAGTGCCTTTATTGATTCCGTAGGTGATAATTTCAAACCATGGGAATTTTCTCAGAGAGGTTAAGGAAGTTTTTTCTTTTTCGGGAAACGAAATGGAAGTGGATTACGTATAAGCGCTCTTTTAGACAAAACTACAAAAAGCTGTCATTGAAATTAGAGAAGCGAAGACGTTCAGTTGGCATTCTGTGCCGAGCTACTGATAAGAGCGCGAGGTTTATCAATATGTTTGAAATGGAATAGATGGAAAGATGAGGGGTTACAGTTTCTATGACTTACTAGTTAAATCAAACAATCCAGTAACCGTGTTCTTTGCCTCAATTTAAATACCCTGCATCTTATTTACAGGTTCTCAAAGCCGAATCCCAAGTTGTAGCTGGAGTACGATACGTGTTTGAAGTACTTTTTGGTGAATCAAAATGCAAGAAAGGGGTGAGTATCGAATATCTATCAGTTTGTATACTATACGGTTGTGATCAGATCTACCCGAGCTTCCAGAGTGCAGATAAGGGTGTGAATCTTGTTGAGATTTTTTCAGCATGTTGCTGCCACTGAACTTTCCGCAGCTAATTGCGAGCTGAAGGAAGATGGAAGGAAAATGGTAAAATTTTATTATGGATTTTGCAATTTGTCCTGGCTAATAGTCTTGATTTTTAAGCTGTATAAAGTGGAACTCTGGGAGAAACCATGGGAGAACTTTGAGCAATTCAACGTAGAGAAGATTCGGGATGTTGAACCTCATGAAAGTCTCTGAAGTATCTATTATACTTATACATTCACTGGCATTGTATGTAAACGCATTTTGTACATTTCTGTAAGAAGTGATGTTTTATGGTAGTTCACACTTTGTAATGATTGCCTCTGCTCACGAATAAATATTTTAATGTACCTCTCTATCAGTTATCTGAACCGTAGTTAACATGGTAATGCTCTGCGATCAAACGTCTGTCAGCGATTTTAGACTGCAGATCAATTTTTGTAGTGGTCATGTGTCCATTTTATCAGCGACTAGCTGGCTTACCCGGCTCCGCCGTATGTTTCGAATAGAAAATTCCATTTCTCAACCGATCCGGACCAAACTTGGCACACATACACTTCGGGCCCCGGCGGGTGTCACAGTCCACTTTTCGTTATCGATCGATGTCGATTTTTATCGATTTTTTGTGAAGTTTGGCCTGCGGGGCTGGGAGTTGGTGTAGGGGGGGGGGGGGGTAATCGAACGTGCTGATTACGAATACAATATTAGTTTTTAAAATTATCCGTCAGTTTTATTGATTTTATCGATTTTTGGCAAAGTCTGAGCTACGGGGCTGGGAGTTGGCACAGGGGGTAAATGAGCATGCTGATTAATAACACAGGGGAAGTAGGGATTTGGGCATGTAGAAGTGGCCACAGGGGAAGATTGTACGGGAGATAGGGACGGGAGCTTTGTTATAGTGTTTTGACAGGGCCAGGCGGAGCCGGATAAGTTAGCTATTGCGAATACGATATTAGTTTCAGAATTATCTGTTACTTCTGTCGATTTTATCGATTTTTTGCAAAGTTTGAACTACGGGACTGGGAGGCACAGGGGGTAAGTGAGCATGCTGATCACTAGTACAGCGGGAATAGGAAACTGGCATGTAGAAGTGGGCAAGAGAAAGGTTGTATAGAGATAGGAATAGAACCTTATTATAATGTTTTGACAGAGCCTGGCGGAGCCCTGCACCAGCATCATGCTAGTATCATCTCTAACAACCTATACGGCATAATGTAACAATTGAAATCATTCATCCTCAAGAAAATGCTAAGGCTCAGAGATAAAAAGACTTACAACATAATCTAAAATGTATACTCGGTTCATTCACGCAACGACCGGGCGCCACTGCGTCCGGCCAAGATAGCTCGTGCATGGGAAAGACAGCAGATGGTAGGAGAAACGAAAGAGCGCTCGATCAGAGAGACGCCGATACGTCCGCAGTCTTTGCGTGCTATGCTTCGCCTATATGAAAGTTGCCTTTGTCCCTCGCGCCCTTTCCTCTTCCAGTTGTTTCCTTGCATTTACACGTCATTCCATTGCAAGTCTGATCAAGACCACGTTTTTGCAGAGTGCGACTGTAGGTTGAATATGATTGAAAATCACTCGAATCAATGATTGCATTGGATCAAAGTTTCGTGAAGGAAATAATCAAAAGTGCTCAAAAGTGCGCTAGCCTTTCGTTATGTCTTGGCTTCTCGTGCCTGCCTTCCATGCCTTGGGAAGCTCCTTTGCAAGATGTTGAAAGGGGCCTAAGCACAACAAATGTGCAGGAAATAGGCAACACTGTTCTCGAAGATGAGAAGTTAGAGTTCGTGTACAAGTTCAAAGGTAGTGTCCGGGAAGGAGCTCCTAATTTCAACAAGTTACTGAGGCGGGCTCTCCACTCAAGCTACAGCTTCAGAAGTATGAACAGACCCGCTCTATTCAGTGTCGTCCTCAACGAAGCAGGAAATGGCGCCAGGGCACTGCCGCGACGTGTCATTGGCTGCCGCGGCGTGTCCTGGTGCAATTTCCTGCTTTTGGAAGGAGCTACTGAATCGAAGGGAAGGTCAATCCACACTTTGCAGGTGTTTTCTCGCTTCAGAAGCCGTATTTTATTTGCAGCTGGGCTAGGCCTTGCATGGAGATACGCTTTGGTAATGCGTCGAAATTATGTGCTCCAAATCTGCTCGGACACTGCCTTAACACGTTTCGGACCGGTGCTGCACATGGTGCAGCACCCTGCTTTGAAGGATCTTTTTGACGTTTACAGGAGGTTTTCTCTTAGCCCAAGGTTATCAAGTCAAAGGCTAAAGCTTCTACTTTCCAAGTGACCCTGTAGAGTTGTGCCGCCGCTATTTGTTTAGGAGATATGAGCACAAATCGAACAACAGTTGCAACGAAGTGCGGCGACGCGAACGACGCGTGCGACGTCGCAACTTTTCTTTGCTTTGATTTCGAAGAGAAAAACCCTAGTTTCAATAATGATGTGTACCGTGTACAACATAGATACTTTTGAATACTATTAGAATCTGAGTTCTTGTTCCTATCTTTCAAGAAAGCACAAAAGTCCCTCTCAAGCGACAAAATTCAAACACTTCGAATTCACTCAGAACTTTAGATATGGAGCTTATCTGACATGCTGATCACAAATGTGGCCCACAGGCTGCGAAATAAGGTCCCTTTGTAGGCTAACGGCTGAAAGTACACTCTTTTTCGCCGCGCGCGATTTCGCGGTCCGAAACGTGTTAAAGTGAACACACTGCCGTGAAATGGGTGCTGTTAAGGGATAGGCTAGTACTAATTACCCTAATTTCACGCGTACAAGGCGCGGGGGATTTTTTTTCCAAAATCGACCAGCCCAAATACGCCAAAGAACTTCGCAACCAAAGGACCCTATCCTTGCTGTATATTGCTCGAGAGAATCGTACGGCATAAGGATCGCTTTCCGAAATAATTTATAGCGGCTGAGGGGCTTAGTCGAAAAATCGAAAAGGTGCGCCTTGTACGCGTGAAATTAGTGTACATTTACAGTTACACTTCCTGATTATGATGATTTTTGCAAACTTTGGTGTAAGGTAGGTGTTAATGTAGTCGTGAATGAGCATTTCGCCTTTACTAATTTTGCGCTCGTAACAATGAGGACAGGAAATTGGTGTTCAGAATGGGTTAGATACCCTCGGTATCAACCCTCTTTCCTTAACAAGGTGGTTGGCGTGGATTGGCGAGGCGCCACCTACTTCGGCCTGTGCCACGTTGCGGGCGCATCGTTTCGCATGGTCCATCAATAGCAACTTGAGAAGGCTTGCGCTACGTTTTCTTGTTACCACACCACGCACACGACGGTCCGCAACGTGGCACAAGTCGAAGCGAGCCGGTGCCTCACTAATGACGTCAACCACATCAAGTTGTAGGAAGACATATGGATTGAGCTCGAGGGTAGGTGACTTCCATGGTATTTAGATGTAGATGGAACAGAACCGAATTTGCCACGTATTCAGTAACATGCGCCATTTGATCGCTAAATCAGTAAATATCGTTTGTTGTTTAAGCTGCACACCACATCGTGATCAAACTTTTGTTTGGATATTCGACAGAGTCATAGAAATTATTTGTTAATCCAGAAATTTTTTAAAAATATGTTCGATTATCCGAAAAAATTTTATTTCGGAAATAATCGATATTCGATTATTCGACATTTTTGGTTTTGAGAAATATTCGATATTTGGATATTCAACATTTTTTGTTTTTGAATTTTCGAAATTCGAATATTCGTTATACTTGATTTTCGAATATATTCGAATCTTCGAATTTGAAAAAAAATTCGAATATTCCAAAGTACAATGCTCACCTGCTTCACGACAAAAATCGTCACAGCACGGTTTAAACTGAGTGAATCTCCTGACTCTTAAACGACATTTCCTCGAGTCACATTGCAATGCAGAGAAGTCGTGAACTTGTGCACTAGAGAAGAGATAATCGAATTGAAATTTTTGAAAAATGCTATAGGTTTTGTTGTATTTGAAGCAATAACACATGATTGAGTGGCACAGCTTTATATCATAGTAACAAAGTAAAATTGTCATACAGTTGTCTTTCTTTGATAAGTTGTACATTCTTCTATAGTTTGAAACTTAAAAGTCTAAGAGAATATATTCAAGCTTGTCTCGTCTTCTTCGACTTCGTAGTTGTCGAGTGGAAGCATCAAAGGTGCAGGACGAAAATCGCGGAACTTTTCAAACCAAAGCTCCAAGTGATTCAGAGTGAAATCTCTACCACGAATGAAGTTATCATAAAGAAGATGCGGTGCAGGAGGAACCAAAAGCCTGCCGCCTGTTACCGCAGAAAACAATTATAAGTGTATAATTATATAATTAGCGTATAATTATAATTAGCGTGCGCTGTGGAGAAGATTTTGGCAACCAGGAAAATTTGGCAAGGATATCAATTGCAGACAAACCTTTATAACTGTGCTTAGAAATGACTTTGAAAGATATGAAACATAGACTTAAAGTCAGCATTGAAAGGCACATTTTTGATATAGGCCTACCGTTTAAATAAACAACTATGCATCGTTATTTTGGCTCCATTTTTAACAAAAAAGCGTACAGATAAATTGGAAATCTTAAAATCAGCATTAGAAACTGAGGCAGGGTGATGCGTGTTTTTGCTGGGATTCTAGGTGAATTTTTTCAACAGATTTTTATTACTTCATTAGCTGGCTTACCCGGGTCCGCCCGGCCCTGTCAAACACTGTAATAAAGGTCCCATCCCTATTCCTGTACAGCCTTTCCCCGTGCACACTCCTACATGTAATTTCCTATTCCCGCTGTGTTAGTATTCAGTATGCTCACCTACCTTCTTTACCAACTCCCAGCCCCGTAGCTCAAACTTTGCAAAAAATCAGTAAAATCGATAAAAGTAAGAGTAATTCTAAAAACTGATGGCGCTGTTCGGCTATCCGGGCCCCAAAATGTTTTTGTGACGGATTTTGCTCAAACTCGGTATATGGGGGTTATTTGAGCCGCTAATGACAAATATAGCAGTCATATCGCGTGGCAGCGGGTAAAAATCATAAATCTGCCTGAAAACTTGGCTGAGAATTACCTAAAGTGCTGTTTCAAGAATATCGTGCTTAATCCTCACGATAAAGGCAATTCGTGTGCCATAAAAGTTTCCCACGACCGTAATGCTTTCCTTATAGGATCACTGCCGCGCGCGATACACCCTTCGGCGGCTTTTGCTCAAGCAAAAGCAGGGGAAGGAGATCTGCCGCGTGCGTTACGCATTGGGACAAATTATCAGGATGGCGCTGGAGACTGCCATGCAAAACGACCGTTTGCCCATTTTGTGAATATCTGGGATCTAAACTGGTCCGAAAGCGAAAAATGTCCATTCAAACCCTCAACTCACCATAACTTCACAATAATGCATTAT